TTTCCACTTTTTTTTTCAGAATCAGTGTATATAACAAAATGTTACAATTATAAATCTACATTAACAAATAGATCTATAAAAAATTGTGAAACTGCTGCTTTTCAAGCTAAAATAAGCACCAGTGCCTTATCTGAGCTGTTTTTTTTTTGTTTTTTTTTCAGCCTTAGGTATTGTAATAAAACTAAATCAGCATCCAAACTTCAAAAAATTAGTACCGTTGTTATTATTCAGCTTTGAGCTGCGCGCATTTATCCAGTCTTTCACTCCTATGCAAGCCGGTAACAACGCTCCGCTTCATATAACCCAGCCATGTCTAGTCTTTTTTGAACCCTTACTTCATTGGCTACAAAGCCATACAGCCCACGTGATCTTAACCAATAACAATAGGACTCTATGAGGCGTTATATCGCTCTACTCGGTGCATCATTGGCTGACAGGCAAGCAGCGTTTGTGAGACTTAAGTGACTGTCCCTGACTCAAATCACTTCATACAAAGATGCGGACATTTTTGCCTTGTAGGGAAGAAGACGATGTAAAGAAACATACCAAATATCATGGTCTAACAACTGAGGAAATAAGTACCCGGTGGGTTTGGAGAGGTTAATCATCATCTGTGGGGTCCCTTAAGCTTTTAAAACCACCCAACAATTTTAAAATCTGGGAATATGAACCAGGCTTCAGTCTGTTTCTTTTGTTTTTTCCCTATAACGGATAAAGGGGAAGAGAAGATGCCTGACCATCAGTAAGTTGAAGGCTTGATCCCAGCCCCATTTCTGCCACACAGCATTGAGCACTTGGGCAAGGCACTATTCCGGATACCCGTCATTATGTCCATCTGTGTAGGGTGTATCTTCATTGTGGGTGCAATTGGGTGAATGTGCTATTTGAATAGTTGCATAGAGTAAAAGAAAATTACTTTATATGGAATTTATGATTCTTTGGGAATATGGTTGCCCAATTACAGTACATGTTGCAAGGATATTTCTATATCATTTAGTATCAAGTCACTAGTTAGTGGGAGACCGTTTCCTCCACTTACTGCTTGGAAGGATTGGAATTTGGAATGATAAGGACTCAGGCCAACAGTAACCAGGTATTCAGCACACAATAAAAACAGCCCTACAGCACAATGTGATTTACTTACTCTCTTTCTGTATCTCTGCTCATGCAACCATGTAGGTGGGGAGAGAAAGGTAGGTACAGGATCAGCTCAGAGCTCTGAGATTTGGGGCCACCTGAGGCAAAGAAAACTGGAGCATGGTGGCTCTGCCTGAGAATCTAATCAGCCACCAGTAAAGTGAGAGCCAATAACTGGAGGGTGTGGAGCCCACAGTCATTGTCTGCTATTTTAATTTAATTTCTGCAGGAGAGCAAAGTGATTTGGCCATCTTATCCAGCAGACTAACATTTGATAAATTGGTCTGCAAGCTGCACCTAACAGCTCTGTCAAAGAGGCCTGTTGGACAGAGAGGTTCTTCTGGGGTGAGTTACACTCTGATGGCTCGCAACTCCTCATTAGTAGGAGGATTAGGGTTAGATCAAGGAAGTCACAAAATATCTATGTATGGAAAATTAATATCCTTTATCGATGCATTAATAATTTTGGGTTTGGGAAGCCAAAATTCTTGTACCTTTGAAGACAGAGAGCAGCTTCCATTTCATTATTCAAGTAAATTTATAACATGAACAGAAGACACTTAAGTAAAGCTGGATATGGATAAGAATAAATAGAGGAGCATTTTCTTTAAAAGGACATGAACATCTTTAATTTCTTTCATGGATTATTTGTAGCATATGTTTTTCAAGTCAAATAAAGCTAAGAATGTGATGTTAAGTTTGATTGTGATGTCAAAATACTCATTACCGTCAATGTAGGACCCAACTGTTAAAAATAATGTTAAATATTCTTATCATAGACATAAGTAAACTGCTTGCATATTTCTGTCAGCATATTTGACTGCTCTTATGCTGCATTCAAAGCAAATGCAATTCCTGCAACAAATTAGTAGAACCCTATCTAGCCTGACATAACGGCAACAATAAGCATTGCTAACGAAAACCTCCATTGAATCTGCTGCTTGCTGGTTCCACCTCAATATGGCACACCTGGTTTTATAAAGAGAGTCGCAGTGTTAAATCTACTTTGGAAAGCTGAACAAAGCTGCTGGCGTCGATGTCCAAAGGTTCACCAGATTCTCCAGAGATGGAAACAGTTTGGAGCAGTGACGTGCGGTGAGGTTCATAGCTGGTGAGGCACTGACGTCATCAGAATCAGATTTGCAAATAGATGCATAGATTGACAGCAGTTTACAGGTTATGTTTCACTTCTGCATCCTTACACATACGTACAAACTGTAGCTCACAAAACACACATTTCCTTAAAAAACAAAACAAAATAAATGTTATTACTGTCTTACCTTTACTTATAAATGAATATAAGTCCTCCTTATCTTCCTTCAGTTTTAAAAGTCTCTCTGTCTCAATGGAGATCACTGCCAGGGAAGAAAGCCTTCCTTGATCCGTCCTGTTCCTGCCTTATGTTTTCAGTCTCTTGAGCACCCCCTGCCATGAGGCAAGAGAACTGCCTGCCTCACCTCGAACTTGTTCTCTGCCGTTTATAATCGCTCATTACACGAAACACGTTACACAAACACAGTTGGTGACAAAAAGCTCTGTACATTATATACATAAGCCAAATTATTAGAAATAAGTTCACATATTACATTTGTTTAAACCATTTTATTGACGCCGTACAGCAACATGCTCTCTCCGCTTTGCAGCCAGCGCAGAGCCAGGGGTTGCGCAATCCAAGGTGAGGCAGAGCTCGCTGCTGCCTCACCGGCATCGCTTCCAAGCATTTGAATGGGAAAATAAGAAAATTCAGCGATTTTGAACAAATAAAAATCGAAATTGGTGAAGCTAAATGAAAAATGAATATTTTTTAGTACAAACCACCGGATGAATATAACAATTTAAATTACTTTATGATTATATATTTTCTTTCTTTCCATGATGGCTGGTGAGGCACTGCCTCACCTGCCTCCCCTGACCGCACGTCACTGGTTTGGAGAGTACCACCACCTCCTCCAGGTGCTGCGTCTGAGTGACAACTGCTTTCAGTGGTACTTCCGTCTGACCAAGACATAGTTTGATTTTAAGGATATTTAAGTACTTTCAGTTGGTCACAAGCCTAACTGTAGATATCTACATCCAATCCAAAACCAGCTTGGGTTTTTGGATCATCTATCATTCCTCCTCTGGAAGACAGAGCTGTGTCTACGTTTCTACTATTTGACCCAAAATATCAACTTCAGGAGCCAGCAACAATACTGGGATTTCACTGTCCTAACTGAAGATAATTTTGCTTAGATGTTGAGTAAAAGGATGCTAACAAATAAGAAGTCCCTGCTCCCAGCAATGTGATCATTTCAAAAAGAACATCACTACCAACTATAAAGTATGGTGGTGGCTAGGGTTGGGCGATATCTCAAAAAAACGATAAACTAGGCAGTTTTACCTGGATAACGATAATGCACGATAAATGCTCTATCAGAAATAAAGGAACATGCAGGAAATGCAACCAATCTATTTATAAATTATTCATTTAATAGATCACATTACATATGACTTTCACAGGGTTTAAACAGGAATCAGTAACTCTAATTTAATGCTTTTCAATGCTCTTTTAATGCTCTTAAAAATAATTTTAATGCAACAAGTACCCATGACTCATATATACACAGCGAATTCCTTCTTCATCTTTACTGTCGGCAGGCTGAAATTCCTCAATTTCCATCCACTTATGTTGAAATTAGCATATTCCCCATTCTACAGATTTTTCTGCGCCTTGAGCTTCTTTTCCGAACATACGGCTTGACGATCAGCCGGAAGCAGTTCCGGAAAAACATATTGCGATATATTTGCAAATATATATATCATTTAAGAAATTGTGTTTATAATTTTTTTTTTTTTTTTTTTTTAAATATAAAAAAATTGTAAATGCCAAAATAGTCACATTTAATGAATTTTAATGCCAATTCAGGCCTTGATTTAAAAAATAATAATTTAACGACTTTTAATGATTTTTAATGACCCACGGAAACCCTGTTTCAATTAAATATTAAAGTTTTGTACCCATTCAAGAATGTGAATGTGAATTGTTTAAGCCTGCACACCGTCTCTCAGAATCGGTCTGCTGCACGCTAAACATTGACAACGCACTCTCAGCTTCCTCTCTGTTCTTGCTCAGCTCCACAGGATTAACTGATGTAATTTCGTTTACAGTTGTGTTAGACGCATCTTCACTGGGCTCATTCGTCTTTCCCTCTGTTTACGCTCCTGCCGCAATATAAAAAGCAGAATTAAGTTTGTCTTTTACCGACATGGCAAAATTGTCGCCGGTTATCATAGCGAATGACGATAAGGATAAAAATCCAGTTTATCTCGAAGGTCTAGTGGTGGCAGTATCATAGTCAGGGTCTGCTTTGTTGCAGTTTGTACAATGTCGACAGTGTGGTCAAAAATCGACCAATTCCAAATTTTTTAGCTTAGGCCTCAAAGTGACCGGCAGCTGGCAGAAACTTTGACAGCAGCAGCTTTAACAATCTTGAAAATCTGAGCACAATGTTTTTAAGCCAGGTTCAAATCGGCAAATTAAACTAAAAAGATAAATTGGCCCAGCCATATCAAAGTGGTTAAATATGTACTAAAATTAGGTTATAAAAATATCTCTTTTCTGATACCAAGTATGACATGTTACTTTTCAATTAGCAAAGGCATTACATTTTTAGCACCCACACCCAAGCACAATTGTGCATCTTAATCTTGTTTTCAAAAAAGGCAATAATTCACCAATAATAAAAGGATAAAATAAATAAATAAATAATAATAACAATAATGATGATAATAAACAAATTAAGAGTTCATTATCAATGGAGAAAAGGTTGAAATAGCATAATGAAAGGTACAAAAACACACAGTTTGAATCGAGTATCTTTTACCTTGTACCAAACTATTTTAGGTTCCACCCCCGGCTGTATGAAGTCTTCAATGTCAGGGCAGGTGATGTCTTTATTTTTGCTTAATTCTGCCTTCTCGAAGAATCTCATTTTTGAGTTGTAGCAAAGATCTGTGTCGTTTTCGGCCACCAAGAGAGATATGGACACCTTCATGCAGTATGTGGAGTTCCTAAAATGACAAAGAAAAAAATAAATGGTTAGAGGGAAGAAAAAGGGATTATACTGAAACCTTGAAAGGCCTCCAAAGCAAAGAGCTGTGAGGTAGGCTCTGAATCACAGCTGTGAGTCACTGAATAAAGCACAGTAGAAAACGACCTTCCTATGCAAAAACAGCTTATTTTTTACATTTGGGTCTGTTTTTTATATTGAGGTTTAATTATTTAGAAAATGAGCAATCTCAGATTAAACAAATGCTTTAGTGAGATGATCTAAATATATGTAGCATTAGATTTTAATTGCAGATTTTTTTATGTGTGTGGAGCAGGATGGTTAGCCAAATAAAGGCTCTTGGGAACTAAAGTAGCTATTGTTTTCATGCTTGCAGAGTCAGGTATAGCAACAGAAAATGACCTGTTCCTATACCTATACCTGTTATTTCAACTGCTCAGGTCATAAACATTAAGACAATTTAAAACACAGTGCAGAGGTGGAATAAAATTTAATGAAGACCAGTGTTGTTTTCGTCAACGATGATGTAACAAAATTATTTTGTTGATCCTCTTTTTTTTCATGATGGTAATGACAACTGACGAGCTAAACATGGATCTTTGCTGATGAAAACTTGAGTTATTGGTGTGAGTTTTAGTCGACGAGACCAGACTAGATAAAAGTTAGAGGGTTGTCAGTCAAACATTTAAACTGCATCATTGTGCTGTAATCTACTCAGCAGTATCAGGCATGCTGCTGCGTCCTGCTTTTAGCATGCAATCCAACTGCTGTGCAGCGGTGCTCATTCTGCTTGACCACAGATGGATCATGGCAGCAGCGGCGTAAAAATACTCCAGAATGTTTCCGGGTGTCTGACAGAACACTAGTCACTAGTTAGTCCCTTCATTTGGATGGGATTAAAATTATTTCAGAAAATAAAGTAAAAAATCTTGGTGTTTATTTAAATCCCATATCAAAGAGGTTCCTATAATATTCTTCTTTCATCATCACATATCATAATGACTAAAATGTGACTAAAACTAATAATAGTTTCGTCCTGATGGCTGTCAAAAACAACACTGCTGAAGACTCCAGACTTTACAAGCAAACTGCTCAGATTATAGCTGAGATTCATTACAGGGTAGAATACATGTTTGATATTGTTACGGATGTAAATGTTGTTTTTTTTATCTCACATAATGACAGAATTAAAAGGTATTTAATGGTTTTGCTTTTGTGCAGAAGTGGACAACAGGAGTTCAGTGACAAATAAGCTGTAGGGTAAGATATCTGATATTAAGAAAAAAAATCGTATTCCCTCCAACCACACTTGTCCTATACTTATGGAACCATTATTTACCCTGCACTTGCTGCAATTGCACTTCTGGTTAGACCTAAACTGCTTTTCGTTGCCTTGTACCTGTACCTGTGTAATGAAAATAAAGTTGAATCTAATCTATATGGGTGCACCTGTGCTGCAAATTCTCTAGATATGCTTTTAGGAGATACTTCTAGATTCTGTTGTAGCAGGTGTTGTTTTTTAACATCTACAAAACATTGAAAAGGTTTTGCATTGGATGCATGTCATCTAGTATGTTGCAAAAGGTAAAACTTTCTTTACTGTGACTGTGTTGCATCACCCGGAACAGTTCTGGAGGCTATTTGGAGACGTATATCAGAGGACTGGAAGTGACTCCATTATCTTGCTTTAAGCTTTAGAAAGCCTCATCAATTCAGGCCTTAGGTCTCAATCAGTTAAGATGTGTTATATCCTTCATGTTGTCAGTGCTAATGGAAATTTCTGTTTGTCTGAAGTATCTATCGCAACTGTTTAGAAGCCATTGCCCCCTCCTCAGGTCAAGTCTTTAATAACAGATTAAAATGATTTTAATCAAGAAAAAGGGTGGCCTTCTGAAATTCAGTACTGCAGGGGGAGGACTGTGATCCCGCCAGTGTAGCTGGAGGAAGGTTGCCAGCATGAGGATGTGCAGAAAACCCCTGCAATCAGGAGATTACAATTTTTTTCAGGATTTTTTCAGAGATGATTCTAAGATAATTCATGTAAGAATCCCAGTCAGTGCAAATACACCATCTATTTATAATTTTTTCATGTATTCTATAATATTTGTAATTATTTTACAAGAGAAACTTGTTCGAAACCACTAAATCAATCAGACTAAGCCCTCTCTTGTGTTTGTGCAGAGGTTTGTAATAACACTGACCACATCTCCTTCAGGCTGAAATAAAGTTTGAGACTGGTGCTGCTGCTTGAGCAGTTCTTAAGAGAACGCAGAAATCAATCGCTGCATTGATTCACTGTAAAAGTTGTGCTTTTTGAAAGAGATCAGAAGCAAATGTTGTGGATAAATCCAATGGAAGCACCTTTTCAGTGCCCAAACTGGCTAATAGGGCTGTTACAGTTCACAAGTACTCCAGGCTAACTGCAGCAAATCCCTGCTGGTTTAAAGACCAAACAAATTGGCAGTATTTAGGGAAAATCTCACTGCTAATTTTCCAACTAAAGCTGGTTACACAAATTGAGCTGAACCAACAAACAATTACAAACATGTTAAATCCTTCCATAATTGTGCTGTATTAACGGCCTTGTGGATTAGTATCGCGCATGCGGTTCCTCCCTACAGTATCAGCTTTAAAATCCCTCGCCCCTCTGAACTGGCCGGCTCTGCTTGCTTCTCTTACAATAAGGGTGCTGCTTTCATGGAGCCCTGATGCAAATCTGACATGATGTGGAGATTATCCCAGACAACTTCTACCAGATGGACACCTGTGCAAATGAGATCCCACAGGTGCGCCCTTTTCTCTGTTAAATATTCTGGGCAGCCCTGATAAACTCGCAGCTGGATGAGAAAGACAGAGGAGCATAATTGTGTCATCTGCTTCGCATGAGTGATTGATGGTGTGAGCCAACACTTTGTCCTATGGTGCCTTTGCAACATCTCACATCCATCATGATGCATTTCGAGGTGGAAGAGCTGGGCGATCTCTTAGCTATTCTCTTAGCAGAAGGAAATCTGTGCAAAGGAAAAGGAAGGTAAAGGATCCCTTATTCTGGAAACTTAATTGCATCCCGTGCAGTCAGCATTTTGTGAACCCCGCTGTACTGCAGTTACAGTTATAACAAGCCAGGTGACACCGTGGCGTTAATGGGTGAGTGTGTCACTCCGATGTGTCAAAGTAAAGCAGATATGCAATTCTGTGGCAATGATGGAGAGCGTCCTGCACACATCATCCCAGAGAGGCGTCAGGCTGACAGCTAACGGATAGAGCTGGAGGGCAGGCAGAGGGTTTGAGATGCAATATGCAGCAAATTCTGTAAAATTAGGAGGAAAGGACCAGGAAGGAGTTAAACGTACGGTTCAAAGCTTTGTTGGTTCAGGCTTCCTGTAACATATGCATGGGATTTTGCACCAATCAAACTTACATGAGAACATGTTCTGGAGTCTCTTCTCATCTACAAAACTAACTGACAACCTGCTACTGGAGGCTGAAACTGAAGCAAACCTCCCCGTTAACGCACTAACTGTTTCAATCGGTATTAAATAATAGGCAGCAGAATTGATTTGATATTCTCCTGTGAATCCAGGGCACCTGGGGGGAAATTAATGAACTAACTTAATGAAGCTCTTAATTAAACCAACTCCTCCCTAATAGAAATAGAATGATGAAATAATTGCTTATTAATTATTGCAGCTGACTTTCAAGTAATAATACTACAAGAGAAGTAAGAGGTGTAGAAGTTAGAAGGCAACAGAGAAAAAGCTTTTCTCATAACAATATTAATTAAAGATGTCTCGATGCGATATTGATATTGGAAATCATTCAAAACTAAATATGGGAATAAATAGGCCTGCATCTAAAATTATCAATACTAGCTGATAGAAACACTGCTTCTGTTTAGAGTTTATGTAACCCATTGGCTAATAATATATGGGTTATTTGCTGTAATTGTTGACTATTGTTCTGTTTAAATAACATGACCTATTAACTGATATTGAATCGGGTTATCATCAGTATCAATAAGTGCTCTACATTGAAATATCTGTATCGGAGCGGAAACAGTATAGTTTAGAACACCACTCATCCTCCTGATACCCAAACTCTTTCCCCCTGACGGCCCTTAAAATCCAGTGGAACGAGTTCCCTTCAAGAGAGACCTACTAAAGGGGATGCATCTGTGAAAATAATGTTAGAGTAAAGTACTAAATAGCACGATGAACACAGCAGAAGAAAAAGAGGAGAGAATATTCAAATATCATGGATTATCACAATATTCCATGTTTAAGCGTCTATTGTAGCACCGTTTTGCATTTTCTATATCTGCTTCTGTCTCCTTAAACCCCAGACTGCCTTGGCAGACGACTGCTCACACAAAGTCTGGTTCTGCTGGAGGTTTCTTCCTGTTAAAAGGGAGTTTTTCCTCTCCACTGTCACTACAAGCATGCTTAGTGTGAGCGATTGCCTTCCAGTCAATGAGTCGATGCAATCAAATGTTTTTTTTTAGATATAAAACTCTGAATAAGTTTGACTATGATCTGGTGAACTGTAAAGTGCCTTGAGATGACATGTGTTGTGAATTGTGAATTCATAATTTTGATGCCTTCAGTATGAATCTACAATTTTCATAGTCATGAAAATAAAGAAAACTCTTGAATGAGGTGTGTCCAAACTTTTGGTCTCTTATGTATATAAATACACTCAGCCATTCATTGTTATCTTCATTGTTATTGTCAATATTAAACCTTAAAGCTTAAGCGCTTAAACTAGAAATGAACAAAAGCTAAAATTTATAATTTATCAATAGTAGTGGGTTTCTAGATCCAGCACTATAGACCAACAAATATGGTCATAATTACAACCTATTTGTACATTCAATAAAAAAAAAAAAAAAAAAAAAACAAAGAGTAACACAATCATGACATAATTTACTTTTTATTCTGACTGACTATAGCTCCAGCCTAAAGGATAACGTGGCAAGGGAAAGAAAGTGCCACGATGAATCTC